GGTGATGAAAATTTGGTTGTGAAGCTATGTGTATCAGAATTTCTGTTTGTGTTGTTTGTCAATCATCATCATCATCAATTGAGTTTGTTTGTTTATTCTGTGATTACTGTAATAAAATATAATTATATATGATGGTCACATTCGTTTTTTTCTGGTTGTTATTGCCTAATTATCTTTGGAATTCATTTATTTTCATTCATTCACAATCCAAGACCGGTCATTGATTTTTTTTGTTGTTTTTGTTGTTGTTGTTGTTGCACCATGATTGAATTTTTCAGATAAATACATGGTTCCGGCATACACACACACACACACATTCCAACGTGTTCAATAACGATTCTTTAATTGAAAAAAATTTCGTTTCACATTCAAATTGAAAATCTAAAAGACAAGAAGAAGAAGAAGAAAAGAAATTCTTCGTGTTATGTCGACATTTGACATTTGTTTCACCAAGAAAAAAACAACAAAAAATATCCATTTCATAATCGATGATCTGTGTGTGTGTGTGTGTGTGTGTGCGTGCGTGCGTTGGTAAAAAACAGACAACAACAGCAAAAGATTAATTGAATCTTGTTTTTTTTTAAAAATTTCCAAAATAAGAAAAAAATTCAAAAATAGATTCTAGAGAAAGAGAGAATAAAATGCCAAGAATGTACTTGTTTTCAATTAATGATCCAAGAAGTCAAATTTCAAAGAGCTTTTCACTAATAATGATAATGAAATAATACCAAGACGATCAACACGTGAAAACGGGAAATTACCCCAAGAAGAATGCTTAACAGTGTGAATACATAAACAGCTCCAAACTATTTGATGGATGAAACAGAATTTTTTTCCGTTTTTTTTTGAATACATAAACTATCGATATGTTCCAGAAACACCATGTCGCACCCAAACACACACAAAAACCAATTATCACACAGTTTTGAATGTTTGAGAAAAAATTTTTTTTGCCAAAAAATAAAACATCATCAGGTCAAATCAGAAATTGAATTAAGAAATTGCAAAAAAAAAAAAAAAATTCTTATGACAGAATAAGAAGAAAAAGTTTTTCAACATTATTTATGAAATGGAAAATTCCAGAAAAAATGCCAATTTTTTTTTCTTTTGAACTACTGAAAAAATTAATTATTCACCTTGGTAACCATAGCATACACACACACACATCATCATCATCATCATTATCATCAATTTAATCGGTCGTTGGACTGATGTAATATGAATCCTCGGGTAAAGTAATGATTTTTTTTTCTTCATTTGTAATTTGAGCAGGTGTATGTATGTATGTTTGATATTTGTAAGTAGAATCTGTTTAAAGTTTGATTCGGCAATATTAAAAATATTCCTTGTTTAACTCATTCACGAATAAATTGTTTTGTTTACATTTTCAAGGTTTGTGGGTAGGAATTATTCTTTACAATTATCAAACCATTATTATTCCATTAAATGATAAGAAAAATATTCTCGATTTTTCTACCTTTCAAACAATGGATGAATGAATGGAAAAAAAATCCAATGAATTTAATGACAAAAAAAATATTAAATTATTTGAAACATGTTTTTTTGTACATGGATGGACTTTAATCTTTATATTTTAAGTAATTTGAACACACACACACAAAAATTATCCGGTTGAACCACAACGGAACCAGAATAAGATATTCGTCCCAGTGCAGAGATAATAATACTTATTTACTCGATAATGATGGTCATCATCATCATTAATGTTTATTATTGTGTGGATATATCGGGTTTCTTTATGGTTTGAAGATTTTTTTCTGTTTATAATTAAGATGATGCGGTTTTTTTGCTGAAAGAAAATGAAACATTTTCCTGCCAGAATTTGACCCAAAAAACAACAAAAACATGCACTTTTAAAGATTTACAGATATAAAATTACACACACTATAGTTAATGACCGTGAAACCTTAAAGCCCTAAGCTTTTTGTTATCTTTTTCTCTCGCTCAAATTTCTAATTCGTTTTAGCAAATGAAAAATAAAAATTTTCACTGTAAACGCAAAAATATAAAAAAAAAAACAAAAAAAAACTTGATAAACAGAAACAAACAACGGAATCAAACAATGAAATATTATCATTTAAAAAGTCGTAATTTTATCATTCTCCTTTGTTTGTTTGCAATTCAATTTACGTTTGACATATTGAATTTTATGAACATTTGAATCCTTTCCATTTTTTTTTATTCCTATTATCTGTATTTTTGTCCCTTTATTGATCACGGTGAAATTTTTTTTCACCGGTTAAACGTTTTTAATGTGAAAAATAATAAAAACGAAAAACGAGAGAAAAAAAATCATCGACTGAATCAAATTCTTGTGATCTTATTACCATCATCGTCGTATATTGTTTTATTTCGTGATATTTGTTTCAAAATTGATGATTCCAACATTCAGAATTCATAGATTCAGAATGGAAACGAAAAAGTTTTGTTTCTCGTGCTCTTTTTTTTTCTCATTCTCTCTCACACACACACAATGTATCATTCTTTTTTTCTGTCTTATGTATTTTTTTCCAATTCAAAAATCGAAATTTTCACTATGGAAAATGGAAAAATAAAGAATAATGTTTATATCCAGAATGAAGAACCATAGAATCGAATAAAAAAACTTTTCTCATCGTAACGAAAGGGCCACAGATGTTGTTGTTGTTGTTGCTGTTGTCGTTATATTCATCTGATGATGGTAATGAAAACAAAAAATTCTCGTCTTCAAAGGTTTTTTTATCGTCGCGTAACATTCACACGCACACACAAAACATTCAGCGTGTGTGTTTTTATTTTTTTTTTCAGTAATGAAAAAAAAATTCAAATGTTTTTCTGAAATAATAAACAAATCAAATCAAGCAAAACTGAACAAAACAAAACAAAAAATCAATTGGATCAATGATTAAAACTCTCGATTTTTTTTGCATATATACCTACTACCACGTGAAAATCAAATTTCATTATTTTCGGTTCGTTTTCTGTTCAATTTTTTTATTTTGGATCTTGTAACAACAGTATTTGTAGCCTAAAATAAACATAAAACACAAGATGATGATGATCGGCCATAGTAATGATATATATATACATGAATTGTGAATGTGGAATATGGAATGATGATGTTTTTTGTAAAAATTCTTCTAGCCATATTGTAGAATTCTCACATACAAAATGAACAAGAAAAAAAAAGATTTATCTTTTACACAAACGTTTGCTCAATAAAATTGGGCTTTTGTTTTTTTTTTTTTTTTTTTGGAAAACTTTCAGGTTTATTTTCGTGTGTGTATGTTTGAGTGCGGAGGAGGGGGTTAGTTTAGTCTCAATTTCATTCATGTTATTATTCACATTCTACCGACAAAAACAATGATGATGACGATGGATTCTTTTCTATTTTTTTTCCTTACAAAATTCAATTCATCTTCAAGAATAAAAAAAAACGGATGATTCAATTATCTTGATCAGAGTTGAGCAATGTGCGTCTTTATTATTCTTGCCGTTGTGCGGCATTTTTCTATTCTCTCATTTTCTCTGTTTTGTTTTGTTTGAAAAAATTTCACAACCAAAAAAAAAAAATGATGACAACAAGAATAACAATCATTTATTATCACGACATACACATACACACACACACACACACACACACACACAGCACAGAGACATTGAACAAAATAAAAACAAAAACAAAAATGGTAAACTCGATCATCACACACAGACACATATGTTTTAATCTTACCTAGATTATATCACGGAATTTTTTTATTTTTTTTGTTTGACTATAGACAATAATTACACAGAATAAAAATTGCATTGTATCCACTACATTCTATTCTGTTGTTGCTTCAATTCTGTTGTCGTACATTCAGGCTTATCAGCTAATGGATTGCCTACATACAAAAACATTGGAAAAAAATTTTTTTCAAGAATAAATTGTAATAAAATTGCAACAACAACAACAAAAACAACAACAACAACAAATACTTCTACTACTACTACTACTACTAGGTATGATCAACTAACCGGAAAATGGATCACTGTTTTTGTTTGAATTTTCATTCAAAAAAAAATTTTTTTTTAAATTGATTCAACAAACAACGATGCACCATGAAGCAACACTTTATAAATCAATTAATCTTCTTCTTGTTGTTGTTGTTGCTGCTGCTGCTGTTGTTGTTGTTGTTGTTGTTGTTGTTTGGTCAGATATTTTCTTTTCAATATTAAATTCCACATCAGTGAACAGCAAATTGAATTTATTGTGGCGAACCAAAAAAAAAACGAAAAACGAAAATTTTCAATTATAGAGGAAGAAAAAAAAACTTAAAAGTCAAAAGATCAACCATCCTGTACAAGAAGAAGCTGAAGCTGATGGTGAAGCTGAAAAATATACATAAATAATGTACAATGATTATTATGGCCAAACAACAACAACAACAACATTGAATTTGAAGAGAAAAAAAAATCTGATGAAAAAAAAATTCTCTCTCACCGTCAGAATATTTATCTATCTAGTTTTTTTTCTTCGTTCCTAAGAATTCAATTAATTATCATTCAAAGCCGACAATGACAAAACTTTGCTGTTGTTTCGTCACATCATCAAAACAAAGTTGAATTGATGATGATGATGATGATGATGATGATGGAGAAAAAAGTTCCAAGAATTTCAATTCATTTCAATCAATTTTCATTCATTTGAAAAAAAACTCGAGATTTTTATCAAACATCTCGCTTCATAAACTGCTGCAAGAAAAAAAAGATGATGCTGATGATTCTGATGATCTAAAATGATTGAATTTGCAAATTTTCAATTTTTTTTTTGTTCATCCTTTGACATTATTTGTCATATTTTTTTTTTTTTTTTTTTTTTTTGATTAATTTTCATTGTTTGGGAGAGAGAGATTGGAATAAAAAAAATGATGAAAAGTTTTTTGTTTGGTTGAAATCTGTGTGTGTGTGTGTGTTTCAATTTGAACAAAAACAAACAAGAATTTAACCCAAAAAAAAACTTCCGTTTTTATTTATTATTTTTCCGGTTCTTGTTTTTTTTTTTTTCTGGTGTCTGTTTATAGTGTACATTCAATGGAAATTGTTGTTGTTGTTGTTGTATTTCTGTTTTCGACAAAATAGAAATTGTTAAATCTGGAATTTTGTTGTTGTTGTTGTTGTTGTGAATTTTTTTTTAAACTTTCTTACTACACAGGACAAAACAAGGAATTTAATAATGTTTAACATTATCATCATCATTATCCAATGGTAATAAAAATGCCCAAATAATCATCATTTTATTTGATTTTGTTTTCGTTGCTGTTGATGATAATGATTTGGTTATTGATCGATTGATCCAATCAGTTGCCATTGTCATTGTTTGTTTGGATGGTTCTTTGACTGTTTGAATTGATTCCATTGATTCATTTCCATAATCAGTTTCATCGTTGTTGTTGTTGTTGTTGTTGTTGTTTTTGTTTTCAATGAATTTGTCCACCAATTCCTCATTGTCATCATTATAGTTAACATAGGGAATTTGATCAGAATTTTTTATAATCAATGGGGAACGTGATTTTTTACCACGTGATGGTATAAAATGATTACCATTGAAAAGAAATCTTCTTCGACGTCCAATATTATTACTATTATAACGACTATGACGACCATTAAAACTATCATTATCATCATTATTGCCTGTTACTGGTAAAAATGTAACGGACATACGATCAGATGGCCGAAACCAATGGAATACATTCCATAAACTTGATGATGATGATTTCGATGGTGATGATGATGATGATGATGAGAATGATGGTGATGAATTATCAAAAAATGATGTTGTACTACGAATTGATCGTTTTAACGTTATAAATGATGATGATGGATTCGATTTTGATTGAATCGATTTAGTTGTCGACAACTGTTTTTTCCAGAGAAAATGATGAAAGAGAAAAGCAAAAAAAAAAATAATCGCAGAAAATCACGAAAAGATTTTACAATTTCAATGATAATCAATTTTGAAAATAAAAACTTGAAACAAAAAAAAAAAAATTTCCAATGAAAACAAAAAAAAACTTACCGTTTGTTTACCATTACCATTACCATTATCGGTAATCATTGGTTGTTCAAAACAATCAATATACTGTTGTTGATGGTACTGCAATGGTAATACATTCAATATGGATAACCATATTATGATGGATAATGATAAATGATTTATGATGAAAATGATGATTTGTCGATACATGATTGTTGTGTGTGTGTGTGTGTGTTTTTTTCGTTCGAATGATAATCGATAAATGATCAATTTAATATTGGTTGATTGGTTTCTGGTTTATTTTACTGAATGTTCTGGAATATATTGATTAATTTGTTCTTTTTTTTCGGTACTTTATTGCGTAAAAAAAATCACACCATATACAACAACAACAACAACAAGAATCAAGAATCAAGAATAAATTGTTGAAATTAAATTTTCATTGTCTTTTTGTTAAAAGCAAAGTTAATGATTTGTTTGATCTTTATATACTTCAGAGTGTGATTCTGTGAATGGAAAGAAAAAAATGAAAAAATCATTCACACACACACACAAAAAATACACTTACGATAACAATAACGACAAACAAGCAACTATATAATGGATGAAGAATATTCTTTGTAATAAACGTTCTGGTTAACGTTGTCAATGCTGATTATAAATGAAAAAAAAAGAATTTCGAGATAAGAAGATGAATAGCCAAACTATCTATCCGTATGTGTGTGTGCGTGTATGTGTCGTAAATCTTTTTTTTTTGCAATGAAAAATGAAAATGAAAACGAAAACATGTTTGACGAGAACGAGAGAAAAATAAAACGGCTAGAAAGGATGATTTTGCTCAGATTTTTCTTTTTATTCTGTTCACTGAAAACTGTTCATACACACACACACACACACACACAGAATGAAGCTAAAAAATATAGATACCCAATACCCGATACAAATTCTCTGGTAATCAATTAAATCAATTGAATTGAATCAATCAATTGAGAAATACCTGACAATTATTATCAGAGAAAAAAAATGACGATGATGATGATGATGAAAGCAAACAAACTTGCGCCATATTGAAAATTAAGAATTAGGGAAAACGATAGTTAAAATTTTATTTACGTAACATGTGGACCATCATCATTATTGATCATCATCGTCATTAATTTTATAATTAATTAATCGACTTAATTCGTGTGTGTGTGTGTGTGTGTGTGCAAACCACCATTATTGAAAATAAATTGAAACGCGTTTTTTTCGGCTGAAAAAAATGCACCCAATTCGATATATAGCCATCAGTGGTCATCATGATTTTATTTCGAAAATTTTTCTATCCCAATTGCAACTACGTGTGTACATTAGGATTTGTTATTATTATCAGCTTTTTTGTGGTCATTTTTTTTCTTTAATGTAGGAGAAAAAAAATTTCAGATTAAAATACCATTTTGAATCACGTATCAATGTTTTTCATTTTCAATCATCATCATCATCATCGTTTTTTTCAATAATGTCCATTATTACGATTAAATTTCTGTTGAAATTTAAAATATTCATAGCATAGAGAGGTCAAGAACGATAATGATTATGGAATTTTTATTTTGTTTGGTTTATCAGCAATATATTCTCAGGGGTAGTGTGCAGAATTTCAAAATTCTGACAAAATTCTGTAGAATTGTTTTCATATATACTACTAATATTACATCATCAATGGCCATGATCATTGATTCAGGCAACATTTTGGAAACTTTTTTTTTTGTTCTGATCAAGCCTAATTCATTGAATCAAACGATCAATCAATGAACAAAAACGAAAAATTATTGCTGCAGATGATATACATTGTTTTTTTGTTTCATTGTCTTGAATACGAATAAAAGTCAATATTTGAATAAAAACATCCTTGAATGAATATATAAGCGGGGAGGAAAAAAAAACTTTTTTTTTCTCATTTATTCATTCAAATCGTAAACATTGTGTTATTTGTTGTCAAAGTCAAAAAAAAAAAAAAAAAGTTGAAGTAAGTTATGAGTTAACAATTGAGAAAAAAACATTCATATATTGCTCATGGCCAGTATTTTTTTTTTTTTCTATTTGTAAATTATTATTATCATCATCATATAATAATCAACAATACAAAAAAAAAACACTAGTTTGGAATACTATTCCATCGATATAATCAACTAATGATCTCAACAGTGTGTGTGTGTGTGTGTGTGTGTGTGTGTGTGTGTGTGTGTGTGTGTGTGTGTGTGTGTGTGTGTGTGTGTGTGTGTGTGTGTGTGTGTGTGCGTGCGTGCATGTTCAATATATAAATGATGACCGAGAATGAAAAAAAAAACTTTTGGGACATACACAGTTCATAATGATGTGGTTGTTGTTGTTTGTTGTTGTTGTTGTTTGTTGAATACACCAAGATCAACACACCGAAGGTCATACTGAAACCAGAATATAGTCTGTGAGTGTGTATGAATCATAGTTTGGTGGAGAAAAAAAAATAGAAAACGACTTGACAAACAAGAGAAAACAATTATAACAATGATGATGATGATGATTCAAACATTGAAATTGGAACATAATTAAAAATTTATATAATCAATTTATATGAATCTGAATCTGAATTTTTATTTACAATGTAAAAACAAGAATTTGATTTATGTATGTGTGTGTGTGTGTTTTGTTTGCATGAGAGAATCATCAGAGAATTTAGATGGTATACAGATAGTGGAAAATAAAAAACAAAATCAGAAAAAAAAATACGGTAACCAAGGCGAATAATATCAAAAAATGTACGTATATTCAAATCAACAGATTTTTTTTACTGAATGATTTTCAATGTATAATTATAGAATATGACTAATTGAAATGAAATTCATTCTAATCTTACTATCTCAGTTTTATTTATAATTTGTATAATGGAATATGAAATTGATAAACGCAAAAGCGAGAGAGAGAGGAAAGAGGGATTTCTATTTCCACTCCAACACACAACAGCCACTAGTAGTATTTTTTTTTTTTTAGCTTTTAGCGATTATTAGCTTTTTATAATCATCATCATTATTGTAAAAATAGTGGGAAAATAAAAGATTAATCGTTTTTATATTTCAACCGGAAGAATCACTTGAAAGTTTTTCTTTTTAAAAAAAATGGTGGAATATAAAATCTGACCATTGGTTATTCTATAGAATTTTTTTTTGTTCATTGGTTATTATTTTCAAGAAAAACAAAATTTTTTTCGTTAAAAAAAAATTGGCCGTCATTGTTAATAATGATGATGATCATCATCATCATCATCATCATCAAGTGAGAGAAAAAAAAGCACAGCCGGACACTCGGACAAAATTGACGTCAGAACAAAAACAAAAGAAAGAAAGAAAGAATTTACGAATCGAAAAAAAAAAAATTTTTTTTTGTTTTTGTTTACCGCGTTCGTCATGAAATTACTATAGACGGGGTTTTTTTTTCGTCTATTTCACAAAACACGAAATAAAATAAGGTTTCCAATATCCAGTGGATAGTGGTAGGATTTGGTTTCACCGAATCCTATCACCGATGGTTAGCTTTTCCTAGAATTGGATTCATTCATTCGATTTTTAGAGTGATAAAAATGATGGTGCTAATTAACTCTTTTTGTCGTTGTTGTTGTTGTTGTTGTTGATAATGATGTTTTTCTCTTGAATTTTTTTTTTTGTTTTGTTTCTTGGCCAATGTGCATCATAAATTTGACATTCAATCGTGTTACTGGTTGCTTAATTTTTTTTTTCATTGTTTCAGATCCAAAAAAAAAAAAATTTGTAGTTGAAAATGAATTAATTGAAAATGAATTTGTCAAATTTTTGGTCGACGTTTTGGCCTTACTACATTGTTTCATTTTCATAATTTGAATTTGAAACATTTCATTCATCAGTTGCCTGTTGTTGGTTGATTGTTACTTGTCAAATCATCATCATTCAAATTATAATTATTGTTCTCTGTTAATATTCATCGTTGTCGCCATCATTGTTGTTGTTTAACACATTGTTTAATTTCCACAATACTGATCCATAATGATGACAACCAAAATCAACGATCAAAAGCTAAAAGAAAAAAAAACTTTTGGGATTTTAGCCAAACACATAGAATTATCATCACCAGAATAATCATATATATGTTGATGAAAGTAGCAAAAAAAAAAAGTTGACTAATTAACCCAGTGCAAAACAATCCACACACACACACAAATGACAATAATTGATGATGACAGGAAATTGTTTATTGTCGTCGTCTATTGTGGTTTCAAATGTGTGTGATTTTTTTTTTTTTTTTGACGAAGAAAAAATTCGAAAAAAAAAATGATTATATTAGCGCCATCTTTTGGCCATGAATAGTAAAACTTTTTTTTGCAATTTAAAATAAAAATTTTTTTTTAATTTTCTATATTCATCATCATCATATATATATCACACAGCAAAATTTTTTAAAAAAAAAAAATTAAACAAACAATTTTATAAGGAGTGAATTGAAAGGAAAAAAAAATTCATTCCATCAATCAATCAATCGATGTGTGTGTGTGTGTGTGCGTATCAATTCATTTTTTGATTATGAAGTGTTAAATATACACCGATTGCAACGATCAATACCGATGTAGTTATAATAGCCATTGGTGTAAGAAATTCTTCGTTCGATTTAATTGTCTCAATACCATTATTGATGATTTCAGTAACTTTTCCAACTTTTCCACCACCCACCACCATCATCATTATGACTTTTATCTTTATCAGTTGATTCTTCTTTTCCTTTATCATTTTCTGTTGTTGATTGTGGTGGTGGTTGTTTATCGTTGTTGTTGTTGTTGATTTCATTTCCTGTTTCTCCTCCTTCTCCTGATGATGGGGATAATGATGATGACGATGGCTGTTGTTGTTTTGGTGGTGGTGATGGTGGTGTTGTTGTTGGTGGTGTGGTGGTGGTGGTGGCGTTGGTGAAGGTTGTAATGGTGATGATGCTTTTCCTTTTTCTTCATCTACGCTTTCATCGGATGATTCTGGTTTTGTAACTATAACTTGTTTTTTTCCTTTTTCGGGTTTTGAATCTTCATCATTCACAATATCAATAATAATTGGATTTACAGATGATGATGATGTTGTTGTTTCATTTTCATTTGGTGATCGTGGAAATTTACTTTTTACGATTTTTGGTCTGTTAATGTCCACAACATTATCTTCATCATCGTCGTCGTCAACAGTTTTGCTAAATTTTGGAATACTACTCGGTGTTGATGATTGTTTATGATCACCTAATTTTTTTATATGATCAACAGCTGACGATAGTACCTTTAAAATTGATGGCTTTTCTGAGTCTTTTTGTTTTTTTTCTTTACCACCACCACTACTACTAACTGTTGTTGATGATGGTGATTTTTTCGCTGGTCCAAAACTAAAACCACCACCACCACCACCACTTGACGGTCTTTCTTTCGAAGATTCTTCAGATTCTTCTTCATAGCTTTCATCACTAGTTGATGATGATGATGATTCTTTAGATTTGCTGAAATCACTTGAAGATAAAATACCAGGACCTTTCTCTTTTTGACCGATAGATTTCGCTACATCAGTTCTAGGTGGTGATGTTTTTAATTTTTGTAATTCGATTGATGATTCTTCTAACTCATCAGATGATTCTTCCATAGAAAATGTAGGACCTTTTGATGATTTTGGTCCACCACCAGATTCTTTTGACCAACTGACAGGAACACTAACAGATGGTTTTGGTTTCGACGATTCAGGCTGTTTCCAGCCACCATCAGGCATTGCTTCACCAGATTCATCAGATTCACTGATTGAAGGTATCATCGGTTTAAATTGTTTTCCAACAGATTTTGATTCATCTGATTTTTTAGGTTTTTGGCAGGACGGCCACCACCATCTTCTTCATCTTCATCTTCATCGGATTCGAATGAAAAAATACCACCACCAGGAATTTTCGATTTCGGTTGCTTTTCGACAACAGATTTCATTTCATCAGAACCAGATCCAGGTCTTTTAGATTCAGGCGTTTTTTCTCCAGAATCAGTAGAGCCGCCTACTGCGATGCCACTTCCTTTGGATTTCGGTAGTTTTTTGGAAAGCCCTTCCTCCTCGTCATCTTCATAAGATTCGATTGAAATAGGGCCACCACCACCAGCAGCACCTCCTCCTCCAATTGGTTTCGATTCTGGTTGTTTTTGACCACCAGTTTTTGGTTTTTTTCCCGTAGATCCCTCTTCAGATTCATCAAATTCGTATGAATCATCAACAGCAACAGGAACTTTTGATTTCGGTTGTTGTTTTTGGTTGATTTCGTCAGATTCGCCTGATTCACCAGATTCAGCTGAAATGCTTATAGGACGACCACCACCAGTTGCTTTTGATTCTGATTGTTTTTGACCTCCAGGTTTAGTTTCAACTGGTTGAGCTGAAATACTGATTGGACCACCAGATTTTGGTTTTTTTCCAACTGATTCATCTTCTTCGTCTGATTCATCGAATTCATATGAATCATCAGCACCAGGAATTTTGGATTTTGGTTGTTTTCGGCTATCAGGTTTAGTTTCGACAGATTCACCAGATTCAGCTGAAATACTGATTGGACCACCAGATTTTGGTTTTTTTCCAACTGATTCATCTTCTTCGTCTGATTCATCGAATTCATATGAATCACCAGCACCAGGAATTTTGGATTTTGGTTGTTTTCGGCTATCAGGTTTAGTTTCGACAGATTCACCTGATTCACCAGATTCAGCTGAAATGCTTGTAGGACGACCACCAGTTACTTTTGATTCTGATTGTTTTTGACCACCAGGTTTAGTTTCAACTGGTTGAGCTGAAATGCTGATTGGACCACCAGGTTTTGATTTTTTTTCAACTGATTCATCTTCTTCGTCTGATTCATCGAATTCGTATGAATCACCAGCACCAGGAATTTTTGATTTTGGTTGTTTTCGGCTATCAGGTTTAGCTTCGCCAGATTCACCAGATTCAGCTGAAATGCTGATTGGACCACCAGATTTCGGTTTTTTTCCAACTGTTTCAACCTTTTCGTCTGATTCATCAAATTCGTATGAATCACCAGCACCAGGAATTTTAAATTGCTGTTGTTTTCGACCATCAGTTTTTGTTTCATCAGATTCAGCTAAAATGTCCATAGGACGACCACCATCTGATACTATTGGTTTCAATTTTTTTAACGCAGGTTCAGCCAATTCATCGGATTCGTCAAACTGGAAGTCACCAGGAACTTTTGATTTCGGTTGTTTTCGGATAGTGTCGCCAGATACTTTAGATTTCGATATTTGTCCGGTAGATTCGTCGTCTTCGTCTGATTCATCGGATTCTTCTGAACCACCACCACTACTAATATCACGAGGAACTTTTGGTTTCAATTGATTTTGGCTACCAGGCTTAGTTTCATCAGATTCACCTGAAAAGTTGATAGAACCACCACCACCATTTTCTATCGGTTTCGGTTTTTTTACTGCAGGTTCAGCCGATTCATCGAAATCATCGTATTCGTTTGAATCTCCCCAACCACCACCACCACCACCATTAGATACTTTTGATTGTGGTTTTTTTCCATCACCAAGTTTAGTTTCGCCAAATTGTCCTGAAACGCCTATTGATCCTTTATCCAATTTGTTAATCATATCAAATTTTTTATCGTCCACCAATGGTCGTTTGAATCTTCTCAGTTTATTAACGCTTTCATTATCACTGATATCAACTTCACTACCAACATCGTCTTCATCATCTTCTTCATCACTATCAACAATTGGAGATGATTGAGCTTTGTTCATCCATGGTGAACGTTTTACAGGTTGTGATAATTCATTCATAGAATCTGTCATCAAATTTGAACCATCACCACCACTATTATCGATTACATTTCGGTTTCGTTCACCGATTGTTTCGATTGGTTTCGATATTTTCTGCAAACTTGGTTGTCCAAATTGAATAGCTTTCTGTATTTCTGATCTTGATAAATCTTTTTTAACTATTCTACTTTTCAATGGTACTGGTTGTGGATTTGTTTGAATGAAAATTTAAAAACAAAAAAAAATCGATTAAAAGAATTGAATTAGAAAAATATTTCGATGTTTACAATTTTTAATTCTGCCACCATTGGATTCATCATCAACATCTTTATTACTGCTGCTGCTGCTGCTGCTGCCACCATCATTATTATCATCGAATGGTGAAAATTTTTCCATCGGATTCTTGTTTTCATCATATGTTTGTCGAATGGGCACCGAATCGATCATTATTATCATCATGAATGATAATAAACAATAAAACAACAGAATCGATGATCCATTCATTATTGTTTTCTTCAGGGAAAATAAATCAGGAAAAAAAATTTGAAAAACAAAAATGGACAACAGAAACAATGGTAAATTCCAATATAGAAAATAAAAAATTAAAAAAACAAAAAAAAAAAATATTGATTTTGAATTGTAATTGAAAACATGGATTTAAATATTGGACAATAATCAATCAAATTGTAGAGAAAATTCTCTCAAAAATAGTTGTAAATTGAATTGGAATTTTTTTGTGACAATACAATTAACCAACGACCAAAAATAGAAAAAAAATCGATAATTAAATTTGATTTTTGCACATGCGTGTGGCGATTCGATTTCCTTTAATGGTGCGAATTCCGGTTGCCAAGATTTTTTTTTTTTTTTGTTTTCATTGTTGCTGACGTTTTGTTTTGTTTTTTGAAATCAATTTAAACACATGATATTTCAACGAATTGATGGCAACATCCTATGGCAACAATTTATTCGTTGAAATATCATTGAAAAAAAAAAAATTTGACAAATGTGAATTTTGGAAACAAAAAAAAAAAAAAATTCGAATCGATACTGTTGTTGTGGTGGCGGTGGTGGTGGTGGTTGTGGACGGAAATTTTTTTTTTTTTTGAAAAAAAATTCCAGTTAAATAAATCATCGATCATGAATATTTTATGAACTTTAAAAAAAAGTTTTTTTTTCTTTTTTGTTTTTTATTTTGTGTTTTATTTTCGTTCATTCATTCATTCATGAAATGTCAATTTTTGTGGTTGAATTTTATCAGATTCCATTGAAGAAAAAAAATTTCTTTGTAAAACAAAACAAAAAAAATGAAATTATCATTGGATCAATGTTTGGATAATATTTATTATTATGGATCGAAAATTTTTCTCAGTTCTTACACATCCACCATCAATGGATATCGATCAATATTTGATTATTATGCTCATATATTATTATTGGACACAATGGACAGTTCATTATTTTGGCAATTACCACGTTTAGATCAATTACGTTATTTAATATGGACATTAATGACCATTTATTATATAACATTATGCACTGATATTAAATATTATTATTCTGATACATTTCGTTTTATAACCAATGATCCGACAATAATAATTGGTAATGGTGAAAAAATCAAACAAATTTCATTATTATTGATTGCATATTATTTCAGTGCTATATATTTATTCACATATGATTCATTTCGTACACATTCATCATTATCGATGCGTACATTCATCATTTATTTACATGAATTCACTGATGATTATAATTTAAATTGTAAATTATTGAAAATAATTCAACAAAAATATCGTCATTATTCACATACAACGTGTTTATTATTACAATATGCACAGAAAAATGTTCAAACGAAAATTCTGGAATTTAAAAAATTTTTTCCCACATTCATTATGGTGTTTGTATCAGTAATGGTAATGTTTTTGTTTTTGTTTTGGTTTGCTAATTGAAATTTCAAATTTTTTTTTTGTCTCATTCAGTACTGATGGACATTTGTTTGCAATCAATTAAATTGAATAAATTCATTAAAACCAGAACCATATGGCAAATATTGTTACGTTCAATATCAATACATTGTTTTATGATTATAGTGAATTTTATGATTTCATCAATGTATACATTATCATTGGTGGAAATATTCACCATACGAATTGTAACAAAAATCATACGAAAAATTAAAATGGAAATCAATAAAATTATCGGTCTAATTGAAATGAAAATCCAAATGGATGATTATAGAAAATATTCATTACAATTACAATTGATGAAAACCAAATTGAACAATCAATATCGAACATATACACGTTTGATTATATTTATTGAACAAATACAACCATATGTTGCTAAAATGAATATATGGGGCATCGTTGTCAATATTGTTGGCAGTCAAATTGTCATCAATTGTATAAAACATGTTGAAAATGATGAATATTTTCTATTAATTATCCTATATTATGTATTACTGATTGAATTGATGATCATAATATTACTTTCATATGTAATGTCAAAATTAAATTCATATCTCAATTCTATACGTATGGATTTACAACATACCTGTTGTATGGCAATGAAAACAACAGATGTTTATTTTAAATTTAAAATGGCAACCATTTATGAACGTATTGTTCATAATCGTAAACAATGGGGCATACGTATTGGTCCAATTACATTATTAACTAAATTAGTATTCTTTAAGGTAAGAAAATTATTGATCTAAATTCAATTTAATTCATTGATTCATCTATTTATTCAGCTAATGATATTCTATGCACGTTTTATAGTGCTTTCAAGTAAATTGTTTAAAAATTGATTCAAAAAAAAAAAAAAAAATTAAAATTTTGGAAACAAAAAAAAAACAATTACAAATTACAAATTATTCAATAATTTCTAAATGTTCATCAATATGATATCCATAATGAATTCGTATTTTGATTTTTGCACTGTCAATGGTATCATTTTGATCGATAATCATTGCCATTATTTGATCCATATCATTATCATCAACAGTAATATATGCCCATGGCATTGCTTGAGTATTGAAACCGAAACCAATATCACCATGACCATTACCGATGGCAATTATACCACCATAACCATCGACACGTTGTTTCATTGATTCTAATGATTCAATAATAGCTCGTTGCATTGGATTCATTGTTTCCATTGGTTGATTAATCATTTTTTCATATCGATAAAGAACATCACGTGCTAGACAAACTTTCATAATTGCTTCACCATGACCGGTGGTTGAAACGGCACCGATTTCATTGTCGGCATATGCACCTGATCCAATTACAGGTGAATCACCAATACGTCCGGGAAGTTTTCCAGTAATACCACCGGTTGATGTTGCGGCAGCAAAATTACCAAACCAATCGACAGCAACTGAACCGACAGTATCATGGTCATCAGGTTTCGTTTTATCAGTGGCTGCTATTTTATCCACTTCGATTGCATTCCGAAATGTTTTGTATTCATCCAGTCTTTGTTTAGCCAAATCATTGACTAATTGTTGTGGATCTGAAATCGGCACAAAACCTTGTTGTCGTGCAAATTCATGTGCACCATCACGGCCAAAAAGACAATGTTCAGAATGTTCCATAATTTTTCTTGCCAATGAAACTGGATTAGAATAATCGGTTATCGAAGCTACGGCACCAAAATTCAGATTACGTCCATCCGTAATTATGGCATCCATTTCAATATGACCATTATTAGTCAATGATGAACCATAGCCAGCATTAAAATATGGACTATCTTCCATACATCTAACAGCTTTTTCCACGGCATCTAAAGCAGCATCAGGTCGAGATTTTTTACGTACCAATTCCAGAAAACCGATTTTAGCTGCACAACGGAGATGGGCCAATTTCGATTCGACAACATTGGCAGCAACTTTGGCAGCACCACCATGAACAATAATGGCAACCATTTTTTTAAAATAAAATTACAAAAAAAATGTCAATTAAAAATTTGAAAATCTTTGATGAAAAAATATATTCAATATACACAAATCGATAAATCAATGAAAACAGTTATATTTATGTCCTATCATTTATGAATAGGATCTAATAAAAATTTTTTTATAAAGCAACAGGTTAATGTTCTTGTTGATTTTTTTTTTTTTTAAAATTAATTGCGTTTCAATATATATTCGCTTTGGGATTTTCTTACAATCGTTATCATTATTTGTATTCGATGATTATGATTATGGATGAATGAATGATCAAACGTGAGAGTAATATTATCCGAATCCAAAGACAGAGGTCAAAAATCTTGGTCAGAAAAATTTGGTGTCCAATTTCATCTAATAATCAAGTCAACGAAAACAAAAATTTGTTTAGCAATGTAAGTTTGCAATTCTTAATTATTATGTACATTTATTGTTTGAATTGAATTGGATTTTTTTTCCATTTTACAACATCTCATATTGCATTTGTTGTTATATATTATAGAACGATAGAATATCATTTGGGATTTTTTTCCAATTTCTATTTACTCCCCTTTGTTGTTGGTAATCTGGCTCGATCATCAAACAATCAAATTTTTTTGTTCTCGATTCATATCATAATCAAACTACAACATCATTATCATCAACAACGGCAAGGCTATGTGTTTGGCGATAAATCTTGTGCCATGTTTATTGATTTTTACTCTATTTTTTTGGGTAAAAACATTTGACAAGAAGCCAAATATGTGACGGTCCATCGAAAAAATTTTCCACAATAATTTATTATTATTGATGTTTGTTTTTAATACGTTGTTGACAAGTAAAACTCAGAAACACAGAAATATATTCCATACACGAAATAATAATGCGTCGATCGGACAAAAAACGTTCCAAACATGATAACATTCCGGATAATGAATTCAGATTGTTCAACAATCAAGCAACTAGTTCAACAACGACGACGAATAATCCATTCGATAATGATTCATTGATGTCAAGTCGACAATTCTATAATCAAACCGCTATGAATTATCCGGAACCATCGGCACCACCACCTGAATCGGATAATAATCCTGTCAGTTCAGAATATACACCATTATTGGAAAATTTTACTGAACGTTTTATAAATAGATCTCAAGGACCAGTGTTAGGTGTTGGTGTTATTGATACAACAACAACATCATCATCTTCGGCAATGACAACAACAACAACAAATAGTAATTTGGCACCACAACAATCCATATCAACTGTGATATCGCCTGTTGTTCCACCAGAATTATTGCTAATCCATTATCAACAATCACCATTCAATCCGAATCTAGTTGAATCAGATATATCATCATTTTCATCGTTTGATGGTGATAATAATAATGTTCAAAATGAACATAATCAACGTGGACAACAAATACCATCATCGCCAATAATTGAATGGACAAATGGATGTTTTACGAAATTTCGTATTTATTTTTGTCAAACATTTTGGTATCTATCACAAACGATTCTTATCATTAGTTTAATAGCTTTTAATTTTGGTTCAACTTTTGTGCCATCAATTTATTCATCATTAGTGATTACATCTAATTTTTCTGGCCACACAAATACATCACATACAAATCGATTGGTTGTATTTGATTTTTTTGCTTTAACTACCATTCAATTATCGATGGCAATATTATCATTGATTGGAAGTTTAATTTTATTATATTCTGCATCTCGTGTCATACATCGATTACGTCGCCGTGTTCATCTTCGAAATCTCAAACAAATAACACGTACAGCTACCAATAATCTTGTTCAATCATTATCATCGGCTACAGCTATGGCTACAACAAATGAAAAAATATCCGATTCAGAATTGACAACAACCATAATGACAACGGAAATGATTGTTTTCGAAACACTTGGTTCAACTATGGCTCGAACTTTTTCCTTCATAATGTTGTTGCATCAATTTTGTTTATGTTCAATTTATGTTCATCTTATTTATGATTATTTTGATATGCTCATTTCATCATCTGTATCGATATTATCATCCGAATGGATTGATTATTTAGATATTAATGGTGAACGTAAATGGTATCTAAATCATCTTGTTGTTGGTTCAATTTGGTTAACATTAATTGTCGTAATTGTTGTTGCATTGGCAACAACATCGTTTGTTTGGTCACGAAGACGTCGAGATTGGCGAACAATACAATATACACGTCTTTTTTTACTGTGGATCATAAAAATCTCCGGCATCATTATCGGTTTCATATTCATAATAATCATAACTTTTGTTGGTATCCATTTATATTTGAAACAAAATCTTCAAATCAACAACGAAATTTTATTGAACAAAATTAACATTACCAATCAATCATCAATCGGATACGTTCCAAATCCTGTACCTGTATTCGATACATTCCTGAATGATTGGTATATATCATTATTTGGTGCCATTCCATTGCTTTTGATGCCTTTTCATTTGAATGAAATACTGATCATGTTAATGTATTCACGTTATGATTATCATTATTATCGTCGACGTTTACAAATTTCTGACAATGATGATATATATGGCCAAAATAATGACAATGGTGATAATTATAATGATGGTGATCAACAACAAAGACGTCGATTAATTACTGCACAACAACAAATGATGAATTATCAAACAATACAACGATATCCTGATATATTGTCCGGTATACGATCACCACCACCAACACCATCACAACCACCAGCACCAATAGCAAATGAAGAATCTTGTGATCCATTACTATATCTTGCATCAATACAATCAATGAATCGATCTGTAATATCATCATTCTTTTTTCGTTCATTTTCCACCATTCGTAATTGGTTCATAATAATCATTTTTTTCATATTTCTATTTCAAATCATCATGAATATTTTCTATTTTCATTCAATTGATACGAATATTATGATTAATTCAACAAGAATTGAATTGAATTTTATTCGTAGCTATTTGAATGAAAAATCACCATATGTAATGGCTATATCTATCGTACTTTTATTGAATGCAACAATTTCATATTTATTAATGTTATTTCGTGGAAAATTATCACAAGATTGGTTACTATATGGACAACAACAACAACAACAACAACAATCGATACGTGAAAAACGTTTCCATTTTTGGACACCATATATTATTTGGAATTGTTTAGCATTAATCATTAGCCTGGCATTAGAATATTCACAAAAATTTTTACAAATACAAATATGGTTAATTGGATCAACAACCATCGTACATTTGTTATTCTTTCCATCAATGTTATTAATATATTTTGCTGCAAAAACAATACGATCATCATCATCATCATCATCATCATCATCATTGCCATTATCAACAAATAGTAATAATAATAATGGAAATTCAAATCGTCAAGAATCAATTATGCAAAGATTTCGTCCATTACGATGGCCATGGATTTTTCTTTTTATATCATTATTTTTATTGGCAACAACAATAACATATCTGATTTTTTGGATCTATGGATACTGGTATGATGAATCAGATTTTGGTTATTTTAATCGAATACGGCATTATGATGATTTGTGATTCTCTCTCTCTCTCTCTTCATTGTTTTGTTTTGTTCATCAGAATATTTTTATTTTTTTTTTTTGTTGTTGTTGTTTAAATTCTTCACATTATTCATGTGTGTTTAATTTTAATCATAATTCTTTGTTTGTTAAATATATAATTAATGATTATAAAAAAATTTTTTCATCTTTCTGTTTTTGAATTTTCCATTTTCCGTTTTTTTTTTTTTTTAATTACAAATCTTCCAATAAATGTAATGCTGTTTGTATGAATGATTTTTGATCTTTTGGTGTTTGCCGTTTAGGAAGTTTTACTTTTGAACATCGTTGTTTTGTTGTATAATCACCACAAATTGAACGTAGTTGACTATCACCACCATTGCTTACAGATTTTACTATTTCGGCCAATGTTTTATCAAATTCGGCTGTATTACAATTTGGTGCCGATCGAATTGCATTGTGAAAACATTCACGTGCTTTGATCATTTCGCTAGAGTTTTTTTTTTGGAAAAAAGAAGAAAAATTTTTATATTTCACAGAAAAATATTTCATAATTTAAACTCTTACCAGCATAACATTGGAATACGTTGTGTTTTTGAAACCTTTTCAATGGCTGTCAAATAACCGGCTGCTGTTTCTGAACATTTTTTCAGCTGTTGTGATCCACCATTTATGCAACGATTCATTTGTAGAAAATTCTTTTTAGCCGGTGTCAATTTTTTCGATTGAATTGCCTTTTTCGAACAAATACCACGTGTTGATTGTTTAATATTATAGATCATCACGGCAATAACATTACGTTGTGTTTCTTTCATACATCGTTTGTTCAATGATTCGATTTTGGTCAGAACATCACCATAATGGCTGTGTGGACGAGAATTTATTTTTTTTTTTGTTTACAAATTAAAAATAAATCCAAATTTACTTACAGACAAAATTGTGGAATACCTTCAATAGTTTCAGGTGGTAGCACTTTTGGATTATTAAACGGTAATATATTGGATATTAATTTATCCATTTGATTCAATTCATTTTGACCACATGGATCACGTTTAGCACGTTTTGTTGAACGTGCTGCTGCTGCATGATCGATGATGACGAATAATGTAATGCTACAGCCGATTATGAATAAAAATTTTAAAGTTTTCATCATCATTCAGGTTTATTGTTGTTTGTTGTGTGTTGCCAATTCGAATGTTTTAAATGTTTATTGATGCTAATAATGGTCGAACACAAGTTACAAGAGTTAAATCCTAAATGATATTTATATACCGTGAAAAAAAGATTCATTCGATTTCAATCGTTGATCATCGTTGATGATGATGAAATTTCTTCTTCTTTTATTTCTGTTCATTCTGTAAATAAATTTAATACTTTTTTTTCGATTATAAAATCCATGTATATGTAAAAAAAAAATTTCAAATTGTCTACTTACACACACACACACACACACACACACACACACACAGCTACTTGACGATTTGAATGGATATTTCACAAAAATGTCAATAAACAAAGAACAAAAAAAAATTGAATTTAAGAATTAATGGATTCAAAGATTCATAATGACAACCATCATCATCATCATCGTTATCATCATCATCATGACAATGAAATTCGAATGATCCCTGCGGCGACGGCTGCAATATTTGCTGCTGCTGCTGCTGTATACCATGTACATCATGCCACTGTCAATATAGCCGAAATCGAAATTGATTGTTTTCGAATTTTGTTGTATGTTAACGTTTTTTTTGGTAATGACCATGGATTCTTGATAATGAACATCATCATCATCATCGAATTTTTTTATTTCTATATGGCCATTATTTCATTCGCTAAACAACAACAACAACAATAATCATTATTTTTATTTTTATTTGCAGAAAAAAAACACTTGAAACACAATCTCTTTAAAATTCTCTTGAAATTAATCAAATTGATTCGACAATCATTATCATCATCATCATCATCATCGTCATAATCGTCGATTTGTTTTTTTTTTTTTTTGAATGAATAATGTCTTTATTTAAATTGTATGTATTGTTTTATTTTTATTTTCAAGTAAGTTTTCATCCATTCATTCATTCCATTTAAACCATGATCAGTTTGGTTCATAGTTGAACACTTGAATCAATATATGAATCTTTTTTTTCTGGTTTTTTCTAAACCCTTGAATTTTTTTTTCTTTCTTTTTTAAATTATGTGACGTATATGTGTGTTCGAATTCAAATTCAAAGATGTTTCTCATGTTTCTCATAAATCATCATACGATTTTATTGTTTTTTTTTACAAATATCAATTACGATTACGATGAAATCGATGAAATCATTCACTAAATCGCATGATTCTTTTTGATGATAATGATATAATGATTTTTTTTTGTCATCGTCGTCGTCGTTGTCATCAAAAGGAATTTCTGTACTAATGATGATCATCATTATTAAATGAATGAATCAGTCATTTGAAAATCCATAATGATTTTACGTACATTATAGTACGCTTGTACTAGAGATATTTACAACAATTTTCCAGAAAAATCATCACTAGTCAATGGTTGAAAATTCAAATTGATCAAAAAATTCATGCTGAATTGTGGCCATTTTTATCCGTAATCATATGAGTTTTTATAAACATTATCAATTGTGAATAGAGTAAAAGAAACTATGTTTTTTTGGTAAGAAAAAGAAATGGTTATGAGTAAAAAAAAAAAAAAAAAAACATTAATCATTGAATATATAGTAGTCAAATTTTACCTTTCCAAATTCACTCATATTGATTGTCTGAAAACTCCAATATGTTATTCCATATGGATTTTTTGTATACATTGCCTGTGCATAATTGGATAATTTTAATTTTGTTTGCAAATATTTACCATCAAATTCTGTGGTAGCCATACGACTCATCAATATTGGTGATGAATGATAAAAATGACGATTTATGTTGACAAATTGATAATGTATAAAAAATATACATATAAATTGTATGGCACATAATATAATGATTAAAATTTCATAAAATAATGTTGTATGATCTGTAACCATGAATATGACCAGATAACAATTGAACACCATTAATGAAAATATTGATACGAAAAATGTACGTCCATAACAATGATTGGCTTCAAATATTAATGATAAATTTTTTGTATTATAATAACGAAATTTATCTAAATTTTTTATGATTCTATAGTGACATTTTCGGCCAACACGTCCATTACCATTGTTTTGATTATAAATTGATGATGACTTTTTAACATTTTTTATCATTAATAATTGTTCAATTTGCCAAAAATGTACATGACAAATGATGAAAAATATTTCAATAATCGATGTTGCAATAGCACCGGCTATTGAACAAACCAATGCAAATATTTCGAATATTTTCCAATTAATAATTAGCTGTATTATTTTCAAATAACCAATCAATTGATTATTATTGAAAATTTTTTCATAATTTGATAATACAAACAAAATTGTTTGTATATCGGTTATGACTAACAATATACCTGGAAAATTGGATCATTTGAAAGAAGGATGTTAATTGATTGATTGATTGATTGAAACTTACTGATTATGATGAAAATTTTGAAAATGATACGAAAAATTTTTCGTCCACTTTCAACAACATAATCGATTGCCATCATTGAATGATAACGATATGGCCGATAAAATGATTCATTATGACGATCAATAATGATTGATTTCAAATGTTCAGCTAGTGTATTTTTAAAATATACTATAAATATGATTAAATCAGAATTAAGAATTAATAATATGGAAAACCAATTGGCAAATTGATGTAGATTTGCATCGGTTATTATGTCAGCATTTAATTTAATCCAAATTGGATCATCATGTTGGCCAAAATAACAATTATAAATGATTTTCATTGAAAGAATAATGGTGAATACAAACAATGCCGATATTGGTGCCCAAACATGACGACGAAATGGTTCAGGATCAACAGTACGGCGACGAATTATTGTACACATCTCAAAATATGATCGATAAAAATCTTGCCAACGATTTATGAATAATAGAAAATAAATACGACAAACGTATTTAAAACCAGTGTAAACATAATTAAAATATTTAGCCAATTCTGAAGCCATTTTTTCGCCAATATAATAACAATTATTATTATACGTTTCTTCAATGTTCATTTGGAATGTTTGAATCAGTTCTTGATACAATCATTTTTGCTGCTATTCAACTGGATGGGCAATATATATATATATGAGAAAAAAATGAAGGACAAAATGACACACGAATTGAAACAAAAAAATAAAAGTCTAAACGAAAATAGCAAAAAAAAGTCATTATCAAATTCATCATATTCATTTGTACCGGAATTTGTTGTTGGTTATCAAGAGAGAGAAAAAAAAGAAAAGAATTTTATTCTAGTCACACGCAAATAAAACTTTCAAGTTTTATCGATTTTCAATTCACATAATAATCATTTATATATTATTATTCTATGATTCTATGATGATAATAATAAAAAAAATATGAATTTCATTTTGTTGTTTACAGGCGAAAGAATTTTTTATTATTATTCCATCGATTCATTCCATCATATGAATTGGATCGATAGAATTTAAATTTTAAAATTCTGAAAGGCGAAAGAATTAAAAAAAACACACTTTTAAACCTTTATAGATTTAATTTTTTCCGTTGAATAGAATATATATACAACATTAATAAACTTGTAACACAGATGTACAACACAACATTTATGACATTTGGTTTCAAGTTTCATATTTATCCGCTTGGAATTTTTTTTTTTCATCATTAATTTTTTATATTCATGATGATCATGAGACTATAGAAAAATGTGTTTTGTTGTTGTTGTTTAAACTGCACAATTTAATGGTTGTTGATTTCTGAGATGAAACCAGAAAAAACAAAAAAAAAAAAATTTCAACTTAATGCCCTTGAAAATTATCGATCGATTACAATTTTTATTTTCAATTTTAATTAATGAAAATGAAAATTTAAAAAAAAAAATGAACAAAACAACAACAACAACAATTATATATGATGGTGATGGTGTTGTCAATTTCAAACTGCTCAAAATTCAAAAGTCAAAGTGAAAAACGAAAAAAAAAAAAAAAATTCGCGCTTGATCATAATGACGAATCATCATGTGCAAATTTTTTGACCTATTGATTGGATGTTTGATGAAATTTTTCAATTTTTCTCTTCTTCATCGGCTATAAATTCGATCGATGATCAATTATTTTGTCTTTAATTTACCACAATTTGTTTCAATGCTTTTCAACCAGTGTGTTTTTTGTTTTTGTTTGTTTGCTTGTTTCTGAATGTTTTTCATCCAATCATTTTCATTGATGATTTCTGGTTTGTATATATTTTTTTTTTTAATTTTGTAATTGAAAAATTTTTTAATTTTTGAATTTTTTAAATTTTTCACTAGCTATTTACGTTTTATCAAACACCTAGATGATCAAATCATTGTGTAAAAAGTCATTCTGTGATCCGAAAATACAACAACAACAACAACAACACAATGGTTAGCCAAAATGAATTGGATCGTACCATACGATATGTATTGATACGTGTTGAATGTGTGGAAAGAACCGATTATAATCAAAATCATCCGAAAAAATATAGTGGCGAAGAATTGAATGATGAATTAGAGGCATTAAATCATGTACGAATGAATCTGAATGATTTCATTAATCGTAATCAAGATTTAACTGTTGATCAATTATGTATATTGAAAGATTTAAAACATCGTTTATTCGGTGCAATCCAAAAACTTAAAGAAGCAACAATTTATGTATCATCGAATTGTATGAAAAATTCAACAAATGATCATCATCATCATCCATCGACAATGATGATGTTACAAAAATCACCGAAAAAAATTTCGAATAAATCGAATAACCATCGAAATCATAATAATAAGAATAAACATCAACAATCATCATCATCATCATTGTTGAATAATGGTGGCGGCGATTCATCGTCGACCAAAAATCAATCATCCAATAATAATCCATTAGCATTTGGTGGTGCCGATTGTTCAACAATGATACGTTTTTTTGTCAATCAAATTCACAAGAATAATCCAGATATTGGTATTAATACTGGATCATCATCATCATCATCATCACTATCACCAGCACCAGCATTGCAGCATCAATTTGAAACAACATTCTCGCCGAATCCATCACCATGATATTTTTAATCAATTTTTTGATTGATTGATCCATTCAATTCAACGTAATTTTTTCTTATTTCTCACTTTTTCATTTTTCATATTTAAATATTTAGCTCTGTTGTGATCAATCGATCGATCGATCAATCAATTTATTTTGTTTCTTTTTCTCTTTCTCTCTATTTTGTTCTTTGGTTTTGGTTATTAAATTTTTTTTTTTAAATTAAAAAAAAAATTTTTTCATTTCCCATTGAATCAATTTGATTGACAGTCAATAGATGGCAGTCTAGTGGCTGAATAATTTATTTTATTCGAATTCGATTATTTGATTTTTTTTTTTTTTTTTTTTTGAAAAAATTATTACAAAAACATTGAATATAAATTAATCAATAATTGAAAAGTTATCAATATGATTATGAACAAAAGTATTGCCGCAATTGAATGTATGAATTTTGTACCATCATTCATTTGATCAACACTATTCGTTGAATATCGTTGCCAAAAATGTTGCTGTAATGATGTTATTAATTCAGAATCCATATCAATTTCACCAAATGTTCGTGGTGGTCGTCGATTTTCATTATTATTATTATTGATATCAATACCAATATCGTTATTGCCATTATTATCAATAATATCCAATGGTATAGTTATGAATAGAAAATCATCATCATCATCATCATCATCGATATTATTACGTTGTTGATGATCATATTGAATGTGATCATCATCATTGTCTATTGATGAATAAAGACGATCATGTGCACACATATTATTATTGGGTATTATTTCGAAAATCAGTTCAATAATCAATCAATGATTTTTTTTTGTGGATTTGAAAATCAAAACATAACCAATCAACACACACATATATATGCTGTGTTCAACTCATCATCACCACCACCACCACCACCACCAACAACAACAACAGCAAAAAAAAAAAAACGTGTGCTCAACCTGAAAATATACAAGACAAAAACAAACTTCGACGACAACAACAACAACAACAACAACAAAAAAATTTTTCAGTGTTATCACATGCAGAATGGTGAAAAAAACTTTTTTTTCAAAAATTTACTAGCCAAGATAAGTATATATCTTATATGTGCCCTCGAGAAAGGTTCTTTTCATCAACAACGAAAAAAAAAAAAAAAAAGAAAAGAAAAAAGAAAATTGACCACAAAAGCAAAAAAAAAACCATTTGTGTGACATTTGCAAAGCGAGAAAAAAAAAGTTTCAACGTTGGCTATATATTCGACGATTGAATGATTTGATTAGTCTGTTTTTTTTTGAAAAACATTTGGATTGTCATTGTTTTCGTCAAAAAATAATTTCATATTTTTTTTTTTTGGATACAACGACGACCATACGACAAAAACTACACACCGGGTGGTGGTGGTGGTGTTGGCCCCTTTACAAATTTTTCGATTATCGATTTATCACCAGATTTTCACCATTTTTTTTTGATTGAATTTTGTAAAAAAAAATAGAATTCTCTATTGTTCTAATCGATATCATTGTATCGATCTGAATTGTGATATCAAACAGATAATTTCAACAAAAAAAAAATTTTTTTCCCATTCTTTCAGCTTTGTCAGCAGCCAAAAAAAAATCCGATTATATATGATCGACTCGTTCTCTGTGTGTGTCTGTGTGTTTGTCGTGATTGAATCAATCAAGAAAAAATTTTTTTTTTTTTGTCATGCAAAATCAAAATTTCATAAATTCATGTCTGAAAAAAATGGCTATTTTTAGTCTGGTGTGTGTGTGTAACAGGGTAAGTGTTAATTTTTTTTTTTTTTTGGTTTTCAATTATCAATCCCCAGATTATCATTATTTTATCGATACAAACAGCAGCAGCAACAACAACAACAACAACAACAGCGAAAAATTCTCATAAATTGTCCGTGTGTTATATAACAACAACAGCAACCTGAAAAGAATTTTATGGTTGGTCGATTTTTTTTTGCTTTGCTGGTCCACACCAACTGTAATTTTTTTTCAATCAAAAAAAAAAAAAAAAAATTTTTCCAATTTCATTTTTCATCATCTGGCAACAACAACAACAACAAATTGAAAATGGACAAGAAAAAAAAATTCAATCCAAATACTGGTGTGTGTGTGTGTGTGTGTGTGGTGGTGGTGCACACTTTTCAACAACAACAAACACTATGATGGTGAACACTATTTTTTTTTCAATTTCTCTCTAAAATGTTACTGAACGACGATAAACAAACGAACGAAAAAATTTTTTGTTTTCATACAAAATAAAAAAAAAAAAAAATAAAAAATACAATGATGATGATGATGACGACGACGAAAAATACACTTTTCCTGTGTGTGTGTGTGTCCAGGAACGAGACATACACTGCACCGCCACCACAATCACCACCACCACCGCCACAACTATAGTGGCAAGAAAAAATCTTTTTTTTATACAATAAACAGATTGACAACAAAAATTCATCATCATCGAGTTTTTTGTATTCCCTTGTTGTTGTTGTTGTTTTTGTTGTTGTTGCCAAAGTTACACACACACACCCCCTATTTTTTTCAGAGAAAATGAAAAAAAAATGAATTAACATTCACCATTGTGTGTGTGTTGTTAGTGCAGACGAAAAAATTTTTATTTTTTTTCACACACACACAAACACGATGGATGGAAAATGAAAATGAAAAAAAAAATAAATTATTCTCGGCGCTAGCGCATGAAAATTGGAAAAAAAATTATTATTATTACACACACACACAAAAAACAGACACACACGGTCGAAAATTTAGTTTTGTTGTTTTTTTTTCGTTCATTTGTTCATTCGTGTGTGTGTGTGTATGTGTTATGGTGGTTCATTCAAATTCAGTTTTAGTTTAGTTTTCAGTGTTTTATCATCGGTTGTTGTGTGTTCATCGTCTGTTCACAAAATATTGGATCAATCTGTCTGTCTGTGTCTGTGTGTGTTTTCATGTTATTGCATTTCCGTTTTTTTTCAATCACATGATTCATGTGTCGATGTTTTTTTTGTTTTTTTTTCGAATCGATCCAATATTCCATCATTCATAGATAAATCAATCAATCCGATTGGGATTGTTTTTTTTTGTGTCCACAAATTTTTTTTTTTTTTTCATCGATGATGATGACAACAACGACATCAAATCTGGTTTGATTTGATTTGATTTTTTTTTTTCATTCATTCATTCATTCATCCAAAGGGTAAGAGAGAAAAAAAAATTTCATTTTCCCTTTTTTTCCATTCCCTTTTTTCCACTGTCAAATATAAACAAACAAAACAAAACAAAAAAAAACAGAAAAAAGAAACGGAACAAAAATTCAAATTTTCCATCATCCATCCATCCATCCATCCATCATTACAACACCCATTTATGGAATTTTTCCGTAAATGAAAAAAAAATCAACTTGTCAATCAAAAAAAAAAAAATTTTTCTTCATTCATTCAAGACAAAAAATTCATATGACCATAAATTTCATGTTTTTCGTTGTTGTTGTTGTTGTTGTTGTTGCTGCTGTTCATCATTAATGACTTTTGACCTTCAAACAAGAGAAAATGATGTTTTTGCAAATATTTTTAAATTTTTCCATTTGATATTGCTACTCATGCTGCTGCTGCTGCTGTTGTTGGAGTTTTCTTTTTCTTGTTTTTTTTTTTTTACATTTTTTTTCAATTTTTTAAACTGAATTTTGTATGCAAACAGAAAAAAAAATTAATTTGAAAATGTGAAATGAGAAAAGCAGCAGCAAAAACGAAAAAAAAAAATTTCATCGGAAATTTGCCACAATTGCTTGCCAGCTTGCCAGCTGCTCTGAAATGGTGAAAACCAAAACCAAAAAAACAAAAACCGAAAAAAAATTCATAATTTTGACCTTTGACCTTTTTTTCTTTGCTTTCAATTTTTAACAACAACAACAACAACAACATCGGGCGTGTCCTAAATAATAATAATCATCATCATCATCATCATGGAAAAAAATCGAAAAATAAAAACAAAAATCCAAATGTTATTGGGGCGGCGTTGTGATTCACTTCCATTCACATCCAACCATCCATCCATCATCAGCAATAACAACAACAACAACAACAAAAATTTCATTTTCATCGATAAACGAGCGAAAAAAAAACAATTATACAAAGCCAAAAAAAAAAATTCATGCATCATTCATTCAGATGTTTTTGGTTATTAGACAGATAAAAAAAAACAATGTTTCAAATTTTCATCATCATCATCATCATCATTGAAATCGACAAAATGGGCTACACATAAAAAAAAATCCTTGGATCATCATCATCATCATCATCATTATGAAATGAGCAGACAGAGAAACAACGAGAGAAATAATTTTCACATTCACTTTCCTCGTTTGTTTTTTTGTTTGTTTTTTTTTTATTTTGATAACACATGCACCAACAAGAAACTTTTTATTTGAATTTTTTTTTTTTTTTTTTTGCAAATTTTTCAAAATTCAAGGTTCAAATGTTGCATGTACACGCGAATTTTTTTTTTCAACAAATTGATAATCATCATCATCATCTAATCTCTATGATGATGATGATGACGTAAAACAGAAAATTCCACACATACACACACACATGAAAAGACCAGACATAGATAGTTGTGTTTGTTTGTGGTTTTCACACTTGATAATAACCAGAATAGCAGCAGCATCAACAGCAACAGCAGCAGCAGCAGCGGAACAAAAAAAATATTCTCATGATGATCGTCGATGGCGAACTTTGACCCCAGGTTCTTATTATTTTATTTTCAGCATTTATTTATTCATTTTTTTTTTTTGTTTTTTTCACATTCACACTATTGAACCTCATGAATTGAATTTTTTTTTTTCGTTGATCATTTTTTTTTTTCTTCGTTTTTGTTTTGTTATTCACACTTGATAACAATGGCCAAACGAATGAATAAATGAATGATTTGTCTGATGATGGATGAGAGAATTGAACAACAAAAAATTTTTCAAAATAAAAATAAAAATTCAAAATAAAAATTCAAAATAAAAATCTTTTTCTCGTTTGATGATGATGGATGTTCCTTTTCATTTTTGTTGTTGTTGTTGTTTTGTTGTTGTTGTTGTTGTTGTTGTTGTTGTTTTTATTGCGAATAAAAAAATGAAAAAAATTTTTTTTTCTTTCTCTCTCTCATTGGATAAAAAACAAAACTAACCCTTTTATTTTTTTTTCTTTGACCAACGCCCATTTTCCTTGTTCATAGACCACCATCGGCCACCAACACAACCTGATATTTAGAGAATCATTCGGACAACGCTGTCAGGTGATGAATTTTTTTTGTTTTGTTTTTTCATTTTCTCCAAAATGAATCCTGAATTTTTTTTTTTGATCATCATCATCATCATCATCACCATCAAACAAACAACGGACATGATTCAAATGTGATTATCATCAGATGTAGTCGTGACCTGGAAAACTTTTGTTTTTTATTATCATCATCATCATTTTTGTTTGCCTAACTTTACACGAAAGTGAAATAGATAGAGAGGGAGGAAAAGAAAATCAAACATAGCTTCTTATGATGATGTTGATCATATTCGAAAAACGATTCGACCTTTGACCTTCTCACTAAAAAAAACAACAGACAGCAGCAATATAAAAAAATATGATGATGTCTTCATAGTGATGTGAAATTTGTTTGTTTGTTTTTTGTTGTTGTTGTTGTTGTGATTTCATTTCATTTCAAAAAAAAAATTCCGTTTGGAAAATGTTTATTTCTGTGTATGTGTGTGTGTGTATGTCTGCTATGTTTTTTTCCATTTGAATGTGTGATGTATTTGATTGATTGATTGATCGTCGATCGATCGATTAAAATTATTAATTGTGGTAATTTTTGTGTTAATAAAAATTGAAACAAAAAAAAAATTGGAACGAAAAACAACAACAACAACAATGGCAACCCTTGATACTAGTGTTGCCAATAATAATAATGATAATGGTGGTGATAAAACGACAACAACAACAACATCAACAACAACAACAACAAAACCTACGACAACATCTTTAACATCGACATTGTTGAAAACAGCTATTACATCATCATCAATAGCACAGTCGAAAGCAACAAAAACATCATCATCATCATCAACATATAAATTACAATTTGAATCCCATTATAAACATCTTTCCAATTCATTAGTACGTTTTTTGGCTGAACAACATTGTTGTGATTGTCATATATCAACCGGATTTCATTATCCATTAATACGTACACATCGTTTAATATTATCAGCATTTTCACCATATTTTCAACAATTATTTGATTCATTACAATCAACAGATGTGCCGGATAAACCGATGATTGTTGGTGGATCATATTTTCCAATTATTGTTATCAAAGATTTTTCATATGAAACTATTTGTCATATTGTTGAATTTTGTTATCGTGGTAAGTTTGTTTGTTTGTTTGTTTTTTTTTTTAATTCAATAATTCAATCATTTTTCCATTGTATGATGTTATGAATTTTTATATCGATGATTGATTGGAATTTTTTTCCATTATCATCGTCGTCATAATTTTTTTTTCCTTTTTTTTTTTGATTTGACCATTTCATTTTGGTTTTCATTTGATCGTCCATTTTTTTTTTGTTGTTCGTAGATGGAAAAATAATGAATAACCAATTTGCGTGTCTGTGTGGTGGTGGTGGTGTTTTTTTGTTTTCTCATCACCGTCATCATCATGATTTGTGAGAAATTTTCCATCCCATGATGATGATGATGATGATGGAGAGAGAGAAAAAAAAATTAAAACAAACGATGATGATGATGATGACAACGACGACGACGACCCTTATCAGATTTTTGATGATGATGGAAAAAAATTTTTTTTCAGTACATTTTTTTTTCTCACCAAAAACAAAAAACAAAATCAGCCATAATCTATTTGTACCGATCCATGAATATGAAACAAAAAAAAATGTACAAAAAGGCCTGTCATGTCATGTCATTCATTTGTTCGTTCATTTGTTTGTTCATTCAAATTTTTTTTTTTTTTTATTCAAAATTTTAAATTTGAAAATGCAAATCCATGATGATGATAATCCATCTATTGTTTTTTTGTTCTTGCCATTTAATAGATTCATGTGTCATGAATTTAATTTAAACAACAACAACAACAAAAATGTTTCGATTTTTCTGTCCAATTTTTTTTCCACTGTAATTGGGTCGATTTTTGTGCTGCCGCTGGTTTTCCAGTGTGTGTGTGTATCACTGATTGGCCAATTGATTGTGTGGCCACCATAATTTTCGTATGAGAAATTTAAAATTTTACAAATGAAAACAAAAAACAAAAAAAAAAAATAAATCAATTTGACGATGAAGGGAAAAAATTTTTGCCAAATAAAAAAAAAAGGAAAAACAAACTGCTGCTGATGATGACGATGAAATATTTTCATCGAATTTTGTGATCATAATCACCACATGGAATCATAATTGAAATGAAAAAGAAAATTTTTTTTTTTTTATTCATTGAAATAATAATAATAATAATAAAAAAACATGAAAAAAATAACACTTTTGCACGACGACCATGCTCATGATGATGATGATAATTTCTTTTTTTTCCCTGTTGAATAAATTTTCGATGCTCATCATCATCATCATCATCATCGTCGTCGAAAAGATGTGAAAAAATGGAAATCATTTTGACCCATCCTTTTTTCGTTGTGACCATCATCAAGCAAGCAGGCAAACAAAGAAAACAAAAAAAAACCGACGTTTTTGTCGATTGAAATTTTTTTTTGATGGAGGTGGTGGTTTTCATAATTTTTTATTTATTTTTTTTAGTTCAATGTACGAGTAGTTTTTTTCCCATTGCAGCAATCTTTTTTTTCCAAATGATAATGTTTTTGATGATAACAGATATATATATGATCATTTGGTATTTTGATTTTTTTTTTTTTCATTCTGACAAACAAAAAAAAATTACATTACATTCAAATTGATTGATCGATGGTGTGGCTAAAACATTCGATGTTCTGTTTTTTTTCTATTTTTTTGATTCATTTCAGCTCATTGATGATGATGGTCAAGGTTATCGATTTTCAATCAATCGATCGATCGATTGATTGATTTTTTTTGATTTGATTACCAATTTTTTTGGACTTTTTTTTATTTGTTTTTCGATGTTTATCATCATCATCATTATATTTACAAACAAAAGAGAGAGAGAGAGTTTCATTTCCGGCTTTTTTTTGTGCACTGTGTTGAAGGTCATCAATCAAAAAAAAAAAAAAAAATTAACAGAAAAAATCTGAATGATTTTTTTCTTCAATTGAAATTGATGAAATGCAATGAAAACACAAAACAAAATATATTCAATTCAATCATGTAAAATAAAGTTTTGTTGTTGTTGTTGTTGTTGTTCTGCCACTATCGATAAACAACAACAACAACAATTTTTGTGTTTTTAAAACAAAAAAAAAATTTATTTTCTATACTTTTGAACATGTACAGTTCATGTGTTTGTTTTTTTTCCATTTCGCATTCAAAAAAATGAAATGAAATTGCAATATTTTCATTTTTCTGGCGAAAAAAAACGCAACATTTCTTGTTGTTGTTGTTGTTGTTGTCGTTGTTTCCACTAGAACAATCAATTTGAATTTGAATTTTTTTTTCGCTGTTGTTGTTGTTGTTGTTTAGCAAATTGAAATTGAACAAATTTTTTTTTTTTACTTCAACAACAAACACACGTGAGGGGTGTCTGTGATCATGTCCCCAAAAAATATTTATGGTCTGTTTGATGTACGAAATATATCGAGAGCATGTGTTTTGCTTTTTTTTTTTTTGTTCCTTTCATGGTTTATAAAATGAAATTGAAATGTTGTTGTTGTTGTTGTTTGGCCAAATGAAAATAAATTCATTTTTTTTTCTCTCCACCACAATGGGTGGGTAATATTGAAAAAAAAGGTGGAGGAGCAGGAGGATTTTTTTTTACATTCGAATCAATCGACCATATGATGATGATGATGATGAATATTTATTTCAAAATTCCAATGAAATGAAAAAAAAATGCAATTTCATAATTTTCATTGGAAAAAATGAATTTTTTTTTTAATCGATCAACTCTATCGATTTTCATTTTTTTTTCAATCAAATCAAATGTGATTTTGATAATTGTTGATCAATTGTTTAGATTTAGAAAAATTTTGTTTCGTTTCGTTTTGTTGTTGTTGTTGTTTTCTTTGGAATTTAATCAAAAAAAAAAAAAAAAAAAAAAAATTTCAATAAACTCATGAACTACTGCCGTTGTACTGTTGCTTCAAGGTTTTCATTGGAAAATTAACAAAAAACTCATGTGCTTCTCATCATTTCATTAAAATATCATCGCCATGATAATTTTTGAAGAGAGAAAAAAAAACAATGACAACAACAACAAAAATTGTCAGAACATTTTTCAATTTAATCAACGACGACGATGATGATGATGAAAAAAATTTCATGAAAATTTACCCGAAAACATTGATGATTTTTTTTTTTTTTTCAAATTTTTTTTCCTTCTCATCATCATCATTTTTTTCTCATGACTAAATCACGATTTGTGTAAAAAAAAAAAAAATAACAGCAACAACAACAACAACAACAAAACGAATTTCTCTAGTTTCGCACCTTTCATTCGTTTATTTATTAGAAAAAAAAGACGATGATGATGAAGATGATGATTTTGCAGCCAGTCAGCCAGGTGAAGCGAAAATGATGATGATGATGATGATGAAGCGAAATTGTTTTTTTTATTATCATTTTTTTTCCATGAAAAAAAAACAGAAAAAATTTGCATACAACAAAAAAAAAACAATGAATAGAAAATTGAATATTCATAACGCGCCACCTGGTAGTGAAATTTCATTTGTGTGCGAGTGTGTGTGTGTGTGTGTTTGTTTTTGTGTAAAGTGAAAAATGAAAATTTCCCCTCTTTGCCACCCAAAATGATAATGATGAATTATTGTTGTGGGGGAAAAAAAACAATGAAAATTTTTTTTGAACAAAACAAAATGAACATTCGAAAAAAAACAAGAATCCAAAATTGGGTTCAACATTTTTGTTTTTTTTCAATGTTTTTGTAGAAAAATTGATTAAATTGCCCGAATTTTTTTTTTGTTTTCATTTTCAATTCACGAAACAACGATGATTATTTGTGGCCTGAATGTGTTGTAACTGGTTGCAGTGAAAAGAAACGAAGAAAAAAAAAACAGTGTGTGTGCGGTGATTGGGGAAAAAGTTTTTTTTTCATTTTTTTCCATATATTCATTCATTTTCACGAATTTTGAAAAATGAATTTTTTTTTCAAAAAAAAACTTGCACCAGAAAAAAAAACAGGAATTTCGTCGTTTTTTGTTCTAATGTGCAAATACAAACAAAACAAAAAACCAATGTAGAAGTAGAACATAGAAAGAAAAGTCAAATTTTTTTGCTTCGTGTTCTTTGTGTATGTGTGTGCATGATGATCATCATCATCAATCATTTTTTTTTTTTTCGTGGGATTCTATGGGTTCCATGTGTGTGTGTGTGTGTTTGTGTGATTTGAAACAATATTTTTTTTCTATTCGGTGGTTGATATATATAGTGGCGCCCCCATCCAGAATTTTTTTTTTTTTGTCTGATAAATGAATGAATTTGGAATTGATCCAGGATAGAAAATTTATATACATACAGATGATCATTATCGTCTGGCCGGAACTTCATCGATCCATGATCATGGTGATGATGAACAGAATCAGTGAGAAAAATTTTCTTCAACTTGGACGTTTTTCACTGGATTGAAAATGTGACAACAAACAAAATTGAATGAATGAATGAAAAGAATTTTTTTTTTCATTAACATGTCATCAAAGTTTACAAACGTTGTCATCATCCACATAGTATTTTCTATATATTTTTTCTCATTTTTATTCTGTCGTGTTTTTTTTTTTTTTTTTTTTTTTCTTTTGTTCTACTTTTGAAAATTGAAAAGTTTTCGTTGCTGCTATTGCCTGTTTGTTTGTTTGTTTGTTTGTTAGTTTGTGAATTTTGGATCATTCCAAGGCTTATGTTATGTTTTTTTTTTTTCGTGTGTTGTCTCTGTGTGTTGTGTGTGTTCCGGGACCTGTTTTTTTTCTGTTTTTTTCATATTGTCATTTACAATGTTCCATTATCATCATCATCATAATCATAATGTTCTGAAAGAGAGAGAAAAAATTTTTTTTCCCCAGTATAATACCCGATTCTTGTATACGAAAAATATTCATTATTACATTCAACGGTATGAGATTCTGAATTTCATGTTGTTGTTGTTGTTGTTGTCGTCGTCATCGTCGTTGTACAATTGGAATATGGATTCATGAGAAAAAAAAAATCCAGATTCTTAACTATTAGTTGTTGTCGTTGTCGTTGTTGTTGTTGAAACTGCATTTCGGAA